GGAATAATTTATTTTGATTTTCAAAATTTCTGCAAATATTTGAAATTTGTATACCCGGTACTCGCAGAGTAAATAGGGTATATTGGGGAATAACGGTTGTATGTAATGCACAGAAACGTTTCCGACCAAGTGAAGTATATATTCTTGATCAGCATCAATAGCCGAGTCGATTGAGCCATGTCTGTCTGTCCGTCCGTCCGTCTGTCCGTTTTGTTTGTCGGCTAGTTCTCAGAGACTATAAGAGCTAGAGCCACCAAACTTTGGCTCCGGACTGCTGTATGCTCACACTGAAACCAGTGTATTTCGAAAATGAGCCACGCCCCCTTCCGACCCCGCAAACGGGCGAAAACCCCAAAATCTACAATTTTGAAGATAAAAGAAAACATTCCGTAGGGAATGGCCATATCTATCAGATCACTAAATTCGGATCCGATTGGATTATTATTATAGCCAGAATGAAGAAATTAATTTGCAGTGGCTAAACCCACCCTGTCCCGCAGCTTTTGTTGTTCTTTTTACATTCTCTCATTCACACTCTGCTTCTGCTTCACTCGGCCCCTGCCTCTGCCGTCCCTCTGTCTCTGCCTCTACCTAATTTAAACCCACCCCGTCCCGCAGCTTATATTTGTTTTTTTTTTGTGTGCGGGCGCTGTCTCTGCCTCTGCCACGAGTCTGCAGTGTGTGGGTCTAGGGAAGGGCGTCGAGCTAAAGGAGCGTGTTGGTGTGAGTAGTGTTGTTGATGTAGATGACAGATGAAGAAAAAATTTAAAATTTGACAAAACACAGCTACGGTGCAGATGTAGTACTGAGTGCCGGGTATACAAGTTGTGACGCGTAAGAAGCGTCTCACACGTCCCTTCTCGTTTAATTAAGAATAGCTATCTGAAGCTGAATCTTAGCTACCACATATCCCGTGCGTTTATCACTTTTAAAATCTATCCATCAAAGAGATTTCAACTATAATGATATACGTATACATATATTTCAGTTTAGGGAACATCCAATTAAATACATTTCTTATCCAAGCGGCTAATCAATGTTTTTAAGAGGCTTAGAAATATTTATATACACCCAACTTATATACCCTAATCTTCAATTTAAAGTGGAACAGCAGGTTCAATGACACAGACAGAATTGGGTAACGAGCAATTCTCACTCTCTCACTCCAACCCAATTTTAAGACTTACCTTACTTTTGATTCTTATTCTGGTTCTGCCTTTGTGTAAAGCGTTTTCTTAGAAAATTTGGTAATTAGATTTCAAGACCACAGCTGTAAGAAAAGAACGGAACAGTAATCAGAGGGGGAATAGTATGAAATTTGCTTAAGCCACACATACGATCTATCCCCTTGTATTTCCCTCCGCCACTCTACACATTTGTCAAACTGTACGAAAAAGCCTTTTTGTTATTCTTTGCCAAAAATAAGCACACACACACACTTGCACATACAAACACTAATATAAACGAGTAATTAAGTTCAGACTTGATAAAAGAAGAAGCAGTCAGCAAAAACAGAGTAAAGAGTGCTGAAGCATCGCATCGTGTTTTATGGCTTTTATCGTTCTGTCAATATCTCGGCAGCAGCAGCGCAAAATGAAAGAACTAAGATGGGTATGTTTGTTGTTTAGAATAGAGTATACCCATTAGTTTGAGGTTGAAGCCTCATAATAGGAGCAAGAGTGGTCAGGCCATGGTTCATGGTGCAATGTTGCTCCGATTGGGTTGATTCTTAGTGGTTTATTAGAAGGAAATGTCACGGAAAATATGAATTCAACATGAGGTTCATATTTAAACAAGTACAAGTATAATTTATGTGTTCCCTTCGAACTCCATATACCCCACCTGTACCATCTAGCAGCTGGAGCGCACATAAAACACAGCCAACCCGCACGAATCGCTCACCAGGCGGCTGTGTTCGTGTTTGGCAGTCGTCGTCGCAGCAGCAGCAGCCGAGTCTTACGATATACGATGCCAGACTTTACGATATCCAAGCCAATGCACGAGAGACCCAGCCTGACTCCTACGATCAACTTCAAACCCACGAGCAAGCTTTGAGGGGGATCAACGATCATTTTTATGCCGTGCGTCGCAGCGAAAAGTCGTGATTTCGGATGGTCTGCACTACGAATATTTTATCTGATGGTTAGTTAGTGCGTGTCGTTTGTCTCTCTCTCCCTCTCTCTCTCTCTCTGACTGCCTTTTGGAGGTTCTCTGGTGCATTGGCGCGTGAATGTTTGTTTGTTGTTGTTGCAGCAGTCATCGTACAACTCGAAAATATGTCTAGATACCGTTATGCAAAGTTGTTGTAGCTGTTGTTGTTGCTGCTGTTGCCATTGGTGACCCAAATAGAAATTACCAAGCGGGCCAAAAAAAAAAAACAGTTTAGACAGACAGACAGCTCCAGGCCCCACCAGCCAAGCTCCGCGTATAATCCGCAATAATAAAATAATAGCAAAAGCAGAAAATAAGAGTTTGTGGCTAAAACAATAAAAAAATAAGAGTTTGTGGCTAAAACAATAAAAAATAAGAGTTGGTGGCAAAAATAACTACCTAGAAAAAATATATTCACTGTCTATCCAAATCTCCAGCGAATTTCTTGATTTATTCTTTGTTTTGTGGCCAGAGTCCCAGAGTGGTCTGGCCATTTGAATTGTTGATGTTGATGATGATGTGGTTTTCCAGTTGTCACGGCTTTCCGACGAAGAAATAAAGTATATTTATTCTATTTGAAATTTACTTAAATTGAAATTCTTTTATTTGCTTTGGTAAAGTTTCTATTTCGCTGGTGTATCGCATACGGATTGCCTCATTGTGCTCGTACACTTGAAAATTGCAGCCACGTTCCAACACATAAAACGTTAATGAGTAAACCCCACCAAATAGTGTGCTGCCCAACTAAAACTGAACAATTATAAATCTCCTGTGTTCAAAAAACGAATTTGGATACGAACTAGTTGAAGGTGAGTGTTACACACACATTGAAAATTTGTAAAAGGGTGCTAAAGGTTGTTTTAGTTATGGTAATCTCACGGGCTAATCTAATTTGTTGATTTGCACTTGAGAAACAAGTTTTCTCCGCACTTGTGCTAGCTGTTTTAGTTGCGGGAATCTCTATAAGAATTTCCAGTCCATAAATGACTGTTACTTTTAATTGTATTATTTCTCTTTTCAATTAAAGACACACTCCAAAAAAGTCAGCTTGAATAATAAATAATTGACTGCTTGAACGATCTCTGCCCTGCCCCCTACAACATTTCTATTGGATAACTTAATTAGCAGTCGATAATTGACTCAATATATAGCGTGGTAAATCGTAAAACTGTCAACTGTTTATGAGCTATAAAATGCTTCATAATGTTTCCCAAATGGAACAATTGGCGGTTATATGCGGTTCTTAACTTATTAATCACTTTACAACGCGTTTCTGTCAACAAACACCATATTATTTTTTATTGACAGTCTAATCGATAGCCAACAATTATTTAGAGGGTTCGTCACCCGCCCATACCACTCACCGTTTATCAATGGAATAATTAGCGTATGTTCCAAAAATGCTTACTAAATATAAACCACAAGAATTTAAATGATGCCGCAAAGATCCACTTGAGAATGAAAGTTTTTTTTGATTAGCATAAGAAATGCTTTTGATTTCACTTTTTGTTTGATTGAAAATTGATTGAACAAAAGATTGTGAATTAATCAGAAGACCAACCGCGTGGTCTGTCGCTGAGTTTATCTTATCATAGAGGAGATCTTGATAAGATCTTGGCCGTGTCTTTAGCCATTTTTGGCATTGCTCTGCCATTCATCCGAGCGGTTTGACTGCATTCAAGACGACAATACAAATTATTTACACAGCTCTCGTAAAGGTCAACGAGTTTTGCTGAGTACGACTTCAGGGGCCATAAACCTATATATCTTGTCGTAGATCCGAGAGTACAGTCAGTTTCACAACTGGCTTATCTAAAAGTAGGTCTGCAACGTTTACCTTCATCTGAAATACCATTTCGATACGCACTGTAGACAGACAGTCAAAACTGCTGTTTGCTTTTTTGGCCCCCTTTTTTTAGTAGCACAAGCGACAAGCGACCCGCCGAAAAAAAACGTGTAAACACAAGAAAAGACTCCAAAGTGAGTTGTGGCCAAAAACAGTTTGTTAACCATTGAGCACCGCACCAGCGCTACTTCCCCAGTCAAACACCTCTAGGTAGGTGGTGGGTAGACGCGTTTTCTTGTTGAAACATTTCATTAGCGTGCCGTTCGTGCAAGTTCAGGGACACTGAACATCATGTGTAGTGCTCGTATAATACCACCCAGAGCAGCGGTAATTATTTTGTTAGAAAAGTTGGCCACATATGTATAGCCAAATGAAGTTGTTTAAAGTGGAGTTTGAGCAGCAGCACGACTGGCAATATCTAATCAAAAGTGACGCCGCTTTATGGATATCCCAAGGTTGCCATAACCATAGTCATTCCGTAAATAAAAGTCATTATAATTCCAATGTACTAGTGCTGCCAGTCCATATTATAAATTACCCAACTCTTTTTGTGGGGTGTACGACCTACACCTCGATCTCAAAACTGAACAGCGAAGAACCTTAGGCTTCATTGCTTCGACCTTAGCAGGCTAATTGTCTCATATTTTGCTTACATTTATATTTTCAGTGCTGTAATTAACAAAGCAAAAGCCAATGCCAAAACAGCTGCGCGAAGGGTTCATATTACTGATGTTATATATCTATATATCTTTAGTCTAGCGTGTAATTATTCAATGAGCACGACAATAAAGCGGTGCAGCGAAGCGCATGAACTGCCAGCTAAATTGATATATAAATGATGAGCCTCCCCACTCAGACTATAGCACTCCATAATATTATATGAGTATACCATCAATGGCAGCATTATAAGCATGATTAACCAGACTCTTGACTGTAATTTTGCTGTAAATTTATGTCTGATTTATAAAGGAAAGCCTTTTCTCAAAGGAAATGTAAACCATAATTTAATCAGTCCCGCCATCAAATTGTGTTTCTTATTTTTCATTATATAAATCTGAAGTTGCAACAGTAAATTTGGAAATTCGAATCAAAGAGTAATGATTTTAGGGCTCAATATCCCCGGGCTCTGCATCGATTTTACAGCCTGGGTAAGTCTTGCGCAAAATCTCTTTGGCCTTCTCATGATCGGCCTTACCCAACACACCCGATCGGCCATAGAGTTTAATATATTTATTTTGCGGATCATAGACGAGATAGCCGCCGCCCAGGCCCTGGGTGCATAAACCCAAGCCATTTGCCTCCTTCTGTAGCTTATCATAGACATGCACTGAGGGTATATAAATGTAACTTAAATGTAGAGCCTCACGGATTCTCTTCAACTCACAATGGGACTTGGCTCTGGGACTGCTGCGGATCACCTGCTTGGCACTTCCCATCATACCATGGATATAGACATGGGACATTACATATTTTGATTTGCCTTTCTCCATCGTCACCACAGGAAAATTGACCAGAGAATGCACTGCACTGTCACAATACAATCGGGTTGCTATCCAACCCCCAATATCTTATTCCCCTGCTATTATATTCCAGATACGATTTTACTCACCCCGCATTAGAGGTCGCCAGGTGGGAAAAATCAGCTTTCGTGTTATATCCATATCGAGAAAATTATTATTTTGTGGGATTTTGTACTTTTGTAGATGTTGACGACACAGAGATAGGATTGGCTTTGAATGAAAAGGGGTTGGCATGACTTCTCCACAACTGTGTACTCAGTTTAGAACAGGAAAGCATTTTCCCAATGAGTGCATTAAATCGAAAAAAAGCAGGCCATTAGGTGCTGAAAAAGACTAGTGAGCCACGCCATTTAACTGATTTAATTAATACGTTTTTTAAAGAATTTTAAAAGTCTGGTATTTTTTTTACGCTCCTTCAACCAATTTTAGGTCAGCCGATTCTCCATAGATTTGTTATATTTAAAACACTTAAACGACGCTAAATTAAAGCATATGAACACAAAAGAATAAGGACCACACCATTTAATTTCTTTTTATAAGTTCTTAAAATCTTAATAGGTTTTATAAATTCTTTAAAAAAAGATTTGCCAAAGAAAAAATAATAATTATCATCTAACCATTTCTAAGCCCCATCTTTATAAAAAGTTAGTTTGGTTCGAAACGAAAAAGTCGTGTCGGGTAGAAAACTGATTTTATGCTGCAATCATCGGAATGTATTAAGATTTATTTGACTTTAAAAATTAAATTTCGGGTGAAACCTAAACCGGAACCTAAAGGATTTTCCATGAATTTATCCTGCAAGCAGGAAGTTGAAGGTTGCGCTTAATCAGTGTATCGCAGAACCTGCAGGTTTTGTTCGTTCACTGCTCAGTATAACCATTGGCACGTTCCTGTTTTTATTGTGATACTGTTTTAATTGATGTAAGCCTAAAATGTATATTCATAACTTTTCTAATATATTTTTGCATTGCTTTTCCAGATCGTGCTTAGCCCCATGGCATCAGCGCAAACCATTGGCATTGCATAATCCCTTTGGAGAACTCAAAAGTTGCATGCAGCAACCGGCTTACGTAAGCCAACGAACATCTTAGCCGGCAAATAGCCAAGCAAATAAATAGTTAGAGACTAAACAGCTACGCTAGCAAGATGAGCAAACTCCAGGTGATAGTCCAACCCGTGAAGAAGGAGTTCGCACGCAAAAGATGCGGCTTTGATCATGACACGCCCAATGATTTTGTCAAATCGCAGGTAAGATATAGAAATTCTAACATATAGAAAGAGACTCACAGACATAGAGAAAAACAGACAGATAGAGAGAGTCTCAAGCAACACCAATGAAAAACAAATACTGTAAAGTTAATAGCTCTCTGGATGTGGCCTTGAGGCACGCCACAAAACGCCTACAATGAACACGCACCTAAGAAGGAGGTGGATTATTTGTATTGCACTTGCTGCCGGGTCAATGTACATGAAGGTACATTTTTAAACTGGTCTTAGCAGTGCGGCACATACGCATTTGCAGGACGGTTATGGTAGAGATTTTAGTAGGAGACTACACAGAATTCCTTCTGCCAATAAATATCCAGACGAATGTAAATCCCAAGATCAAACTGGTTGTTCCAACTAGTCCATTAATATATCCTTGAGCGGCTCCATTGACAATCCCAATCCCAAGTGTAAAACAAAGTGGGCGTTTTCTTTGCTCGCTCCCTTTTTTTTTTCAAACCATTTTCTGTGTGGTCTATCCTTGAGCATATTTGATGACTTCTTCCATTCACAGTATCAATATAATGTGACCTCTCTCGACAGTTAAGTTCGCCCCCAACGTACACCGATTGTTCTAGCATTTTAAATGATATCATTGAAATATTCATAAGCGGGGCAAACCAGCACCAAGCCAGCCACAATTTAGATGGCTACTTGCCATGGCTAAAAGATTAGCCATAAGAAAACCCTATTATTATATGGTTCAGACAAATAACTTTTAATATTTGAATCAATTGAGTGATTTTTAATCTAATTATAGTCTTAGAACTAATCTGGAAATTTTCCATTATTTTTTTTTTGTAGTGGCAAACCTGCACCAAAAGCATTACCTATTTATTCTATCGCTGGTTCATGGCGCTGTTTTTTGTGGGCGTGGTCATCGAGTCCATGTGGCCGTTGGCAGATGATGAGACCAGCTATTGGCTGTACTTTATCTACATGACCAATTGGGGCATTTGGATGTGTATGCTGACAAATTTATTGGGTGCCATACTGGTGACCATTTGGCATTATCATCCAGAATATGCGGGTAAGTTTTTGGGTATATAAATTAAGTATTTAAGTAGCTAATTCTATGTGAATTTTCCAGATAAACTTTTGAATGTGAAGAGCAACTTCAGCTACTTTCGCTTGTACTGGGGCATGCACATTATAACTCTGGTTTTATCCATTGTTATAACCATTATCTATTGGACTATTCTCTATGATGGTGAGTGGGTTCTTCATATTAATTTGTGTAGCAATTCAAACATTTTTTTTTGTTTTCTTTTCAGCTAATGAGAGCACTTTGGATGCCACAAATGTGCTCACTCATGCCTTCAACTCGATTTGCATGTTCATCGATCTGTGGATTGTGGCACATCCGCTACGACTGCTACATATATTTCTGCCCGTACTATTCGGCGTAATTTATGCCATATTTTCGTACATCTATCAAGTGTGTGGTGGCATTAACAAGTGAGTAGAGGCAACCATTAGTTAGCAGCATTCGGCAACATTCAACATCATTCTTTAAAATATTTTCGCTCTACAGAAAAGGCAAACCCTATATTTATCACGTTATCGACTGGACCAAGCCACAGAGCTCCTTTATCACAGTTCTCGGGATTCTCATACTCTCCTGCTGCGTCTATGTACTGCTCTTTGCTTTCTTCAAGCTGCGAATGTTCCTGCATCGGCGTTGCCAGCGGGCAAACTTTGTTTTGCCCACAACTGGCAGCAAGATGAATGGATCATCGGAAGACAAACAAACAGGGAATGGCATACAGCATTCACCCTCCCGCATATCCATGGTTCTGGGCAATTTTGCTGGCTATGAGAATCAGGCCTATGCGCCCAGTGCGGGCGAGCAGTCGAGTAAAAAATAAATTAAGATACAATTTTATCTCAGCTTTAGTCGCTTTAGTCAAATTCTGTAGAATTCTAACCAGTGATATTATGTTTTATAGTTCATATTTTAAGTTGTAAGTAAATAAATGCTAGAATGTGGAGGATTGTAGGTACCATTTGTGTCGCAAGACAAACCAAAATTCGACTGTCCTCTGGGCCAAAATCAATATTTAAACGCGATAACAAATAACAAACTGAAAACTCTCATCGAAAATGCCATAAAATAATTAAACTCTTCATATGGTGAAAAAACATGTTTGTTCAGCCAGCCAAAGAGCCTTGATCCCTTTGGGAACTTTACAGTTGATGATCAAAAATTTATATAAAACAGTCACATTATAGTCGGGGGAGAGTGGTGGATGACTCTCTGCCATGGGGCGGCTACAAAGTTCTCGTGCACTGCCACATGCCACAGATTGAAAGAGTCAAATTTGGTTTGAGATGTGTAAACATTTTAGGCTATTCCACTAATCACCTTTGAATGACTTTATTGGCCCAAATACATAAGCCACGAAGGGGCCAATACACCAGGCAAGGACAAGGTAAATTCTGATTGGGTGAAAGCTATAAATAAAAGTAGAAGGATGGTCACAGATTATCCAAGAGAGAGAGAGAAGAAGAGTAAAGGGAAATTCTCTTCTGGACACTTAATAGTTGAAAATACCCTTTCAAGCTCCTTTGAACACCTCTATTTGATGCCCATTTGAAGACACATTCAACCTTCGCGATTGTCCTTAATCACAGATGTTTCGGTTCGTATTGCTTGACCCAAAACAAAGGCATGCACACCAGAGACCACACCTTGCCCTGGGATTATGTACATATTTAAGGCAAAAACACACCGTAGGCTTAATTAAGTTTCAAAAGGGCATTTAATAACCAAACGCCCCACCGGACGGACTCAAGGACGAGCAAGAGACACGAGCCTCGGTTACCAGTCCACAGTTCTGAGTCCTCGGTCCTCGGTCCTCGATGTTGTGGTCATTGCGAAGGCTTTACTTTACTCATAAGTTGGAAAAATTCAACCCAACGATTTGGGGTACGGGTGTTGGTGTCGGGTTTGGGGGTATGGGCCTTTGGGTGTGGGTGTCAATGTCAGTCTATGGGTTATAGTATGTCTGTTGGTATTATCTGTGTAGTGGGTGTTGTCTGTTTTTGTCCTTGTGTCGACGGGGCCACATGACATGTCCACAAATTCCAACAAATTAGGCGTCGCATCTGTGGTCGGCCATGGATCGATATGAGACCAATTTGATCGATATGTAATTTCCTTGAGCTTTGAACTTCCTTGCGTGTCCTTGCCTAAGCCTATGCCACCTCCAGAACCCAGAACCCAGAACCCTGACCATAGACCCAGCCACGGGCCCACTCGCAGACCCGCTACCTGACCCACTCTCAGACCCCTTACCAGCATTTCAAAAGCACCATACAAAATCAATAGAATTTTAATTGAACTGATTTCGGAAATTTTGACAGCTGTCATCTGTCAACGCTTTTTCCCTTCCACACAATGGGGAACAAAACTTAATAATTACAGTCAATTATTGGTGTGAAATATTAATTGAATGTATTCTGCCCTTCCTTTACGGAGAAACCCACAGGAGCAATATCGTCCCATCTTTCCACTTTATAGTTTTCTAGATGTGTGGTGGCGGCCATCAGGCTCACAAGAGAGTCTTTTTAGATTGCAACAAAATTAAATATATGTAGCTGAAGTCATGATAGGTGAACGCTTCTTGTTAGGACACACTCGGGGTCATTTAATTAGTTAAAATTAATAATTAATAATAATAATAATAGGAATGTCCTTCTCTACATGGAATGTAGGAACTGGAGACTTTTAAAAAGACTACTAATACAAATTTGTTTATCTAAGTTTTCAAATGAAATATTTTTGCACTGGGACAGAGTAAAGAGAAACTCGACTTGAAATTGTAAATTCAATATTCGTCTTTAAATTATTATGCACAACATTATTCCATTCTAAGTCTCGCATAAAACACAACACAATCAATTACTACAAAATTATACTATATTCAAAAATATTTAATTTAAAAATCAAATAAATTTTAT